GCCTCGTCTACGATAGCGATTGTTATGCCAAAACCCTTGAAAAATTTTGAAATTAGCCGCAAGAATGACTTTGAAAAAATTCTTTGCTTTACTTTTTGAATTAACTCTGACACCGAACCGTCGAATTTTTTCAAAGTCATTCTTGCGGCTAATTTCAAAATTTTTCAAGGGTTTTGGCATAACAATCGCTATCGTAGACGAGGCAACGATAATCGAGTTTGCTAAGAATACAAGCTCGAAAAATAGATAACCGGGCGCTAACTGGAGATTCCCCGAAAGTACGAAACATTGCTCCAAGCCGCCTTCTGCATTCGAGAACTAACTAACATCACATGCTAAACCTTAATTAGGAAACAATAATAAAAACCAGTACTCTTTCTAGAAATAAAATAATAACAATACTTCCTCGATAGCCACTGTTCAACCTACTGATAAGACTGTTATTGTTCGAGTGAGTTACAAAAGGACAGTGACAGAGCTGTTGTGTTCACTTTAACAATAAACTACTATTTTAGAAATTAAGACGGAGAGAGATCTAACTTTTGTAGTGCGAACATGACTTAGGTTATATAGATTTGGACATCTCGCGAGGTTCCCTCTTAAGTTTTTATACTGACATTTGTTTATCGTATATAAGGCGCATCAAATTCAAACTTTCTATACCATTTTATTTTTATTCAATGAATAGATCAAGATGAATTTTGTTTAATAACAGCTATTGAAAATAAAAAAATAAGAGAAACTGTCTCGTGGATATAAAGTGTACAATATTTATAGAATATTATGTTATATTATCGGATTTTAAAAGCTTGTTTGGTCAAAACCGATTGCAGATTCGTTTTTTCTATAGTCGATTATCTTGTACACAATAACTTTTCGACTGGGGTGCTTCGGAAAAAATTTTCAACATTGTTTTGCCTTTGGCAACATACGCTAAGTGTTTGAAACATTTTTGAGCAAGAGTACGAGAAAAACTTTCTCTGAAGTACTGTAATCCAAGTTATTGCGTACTAGATAATCAACTATAGAATAAACGAATATGCAGTTTTTATGATCAATTCCGATCAAACGCGACGTTCACATAAAGAAAAAATTCTGCTAGTTCATAATCTACTTTACCGAAAGGAGGCTTACATGAGCAGATCCGTTTGTTCGTATCGAATGCCGATTAGTGGCAAATCTTGATTTGGCTAAATATCATAATGTGAAATCTGACTCGGGATGAATTGAATCGAGGTGGCTTCTTCTCGGTACATTCCGCCGCGTGAGACACTGTGCAATCTCTTGTCGCCAAATTTATACTCGATCCTATTGCCAACTCTGATGTGGTCTATTTAGGGCACATTTTCATTGCACCGTCGCTGATTTAAACACTGAACATACGGTACCTCTCGTTATCTCCACGAAGAAGATGAAAACAAATTATTCATCCTTATGCATACCATAAAAGTTCAACTTGATCGATGACAAAACCGATTGTGTGCTTTAGGAAAAACGAAATACGCGATGGTTTAGCGGTATTGCTACAGAACGGTTCGGTTTTAATAGTTAAAAAAAAGATTTGAAAAGGTAAATCACTTTCGATTGTTCGAGGAGCAGATAAACCGAAGAGGATTTGGCAGCAGACCGAACAACTGTGTTGGTACTTCCTGCTAATTCAAAAACTTTAACTGAATTTTACGAAACTGGTTATTGTTAAAAGAAATTAGAAATACGGTTTTGTATGAAAGCAAAGAGTTTTGTAACGATTACAAAATGCCATTTAGTTTTTCATCTTTTAAACAAACCATTTTCAAGTTTGGAACGAAAATTAAAAAGCCTGTTGATTTTTTTAAAATATGTAATTTTTGAGTGTATATAGCTCTGCTAAATGACTCATCCTTATTCCCATTCATGTGGGTATTTACCACAGAAATGAATTTAATATTATTTTTTAATTCAATTTTTAATACTGAATAAGAAAAAACTAATTTGAACGTTCCGGTCAAACACGCAAGCGGAGAAATCTAACTTTTTTGAACATGGTATCCTAGTTTTGAGATCGTTCGAGTTTTCTCTGTTTCATATAAGAACCAACTTGTCACTAGACTTTCTGTTACACATTGCTGGATCTTGATTCTAATCAGACAAAAATGAATAGTATTTTTTGATTTTCAAGAGATGTAGTGACTAAACAATTTAGTTATGCGCCACATTGCAGCTTGAAGTTGACCGAGTCTCTAATACAAATGAGCTGTTTGATCTACATGGTGATGATTTTACTCAGAAATGTTTGCCACAAAGCTTGTGGCGAACATCTAAGGTTAGTATTTGCTAAAACGAGAAGTTCGAGATAGTTTCCTTCTTAAGAAAATTATAAAAATGAACGGTTAAGTGAAGGGCGGTTAAGTTTGGAGTAAGAAAATAAGTTTCTTTAATAATCAGTTACATCAACCAATATGACTGCAAGCTTATCTTAGAAGCAGTTTAGTACTATACTGGCGTTTGCTATATGAAAAAGGATTAATTTAATCTGTTCTATTTTGAAAGAGTTTTCCGCGTAAACCTTAGAGGGGTGGGAAAAAAATCAAGAAACCGCTATTGTGTTACTCCAACGACAAAAATGACTACTCCACGAGAAGCTTGTATCTTTTCATAGAAACTTTCTTGCCTAAGTCACAAGAATAATACATTTAATCGAGAATTATGCATGTAATCTAGACGATATTATGCTCTCTTCATGAGAATCTTGCATCTTTTCACACAAAGGCGAAGTCCGCATAAGAACAGTAATCGGCCCACTGAGAACAACCCCTCTAATCGATCCCAACCTCATCAGAATCACATCCGATTATCATATTCGATGATTTCGACCCTTCCGAATGCTTTCAGTCGAATATACCCGACAGAACCTACTTGAAACCAAACAACAGTTTAGCACAAAAAGTATGACTGTAAAATCAATATTTCTCAGTAACCATACTATATTACGCCTAGTGCAATACATCATTCGATGCGCCATGAAAAGCTCTACAACATATGTTAGTAAGAAACTTAACGAAGCCTGGCAACAGTATTTATGAATTTAATTGGTCGCCGCTATTCTACTCGAACTGTCGGTCACTTTTCTCTATGAAACTAAAGAGAATCTGTAATCATTCATATATCATTCAATGCGTCTTGAAAAGCTCTACAATATGTGCTAATAAGAAACTTAATGAAGTGGGGCAGCATGTTTTATGAATTTAGCACTAGACTTTTCGATAGATCAAGGCTATGCTAAGCGAACTCCTTTTCACTTTCTTCTCTGAAACTAAAGATGATCTCCAATCATTCATACATCGATCGGTGTGCCTTGAAAATCTCAACAAGATATGTTAATAAGAAACTTAACGAAGCCTCGCAGCCGTGTGTGGGTATTAAATACTGCTCCGCTTTAACCTCGAGAAATGCTGATTTTACAGTCATACTTTTTGTGCTAAACTGTTGTTTGGTTTCAAGTAGATTCTGTCGGGTATATTCGACTGAAAGCGTTCGGAAGGGTCGAAATCATCGAATATGATAATCGGATGTGATTCTGATGAGGTTGGGATCGATTAGAGGGGTTGTTCTCAGTGGGCCGATTACCGTTCTTATGCGGACTTTATCTTTCATAATTCTTACACAAGAAACCATAATTATCGCGTAAATACATTGCTCACATATAAATGCACTATCCAGATGTAAATGCATTTTTCTCGTGTAAATGCACTATACTACTGCACCCGACAAAACAAAATGGCTTTCAACAGATATACGTCATTCTCGTGGATAGCGCTTAACGTCTTGTAGGTCGTCCCAAATTCTCACAGAAGAGACCGTGAAATGATGATGCATCTTCTTTCCATCCTCTATATTCACGCTTCCACGGCACTCGTGTATATCCCCCAAACAAATATCCACTCTCTGATCTGATAACAGTCACTGTTGCACGTACATACTCGCACTACAGACTATGTGTTGTGTGTTGCCTGTCGTTATGTCAACAAACAGAACGAAAGGAATCTTTCAGCTCTTTTTGCATTATAAATATGCAAACACAAACATGTCAACCAGCAGATTTAAGAAAGAAAGCTTCTATTTACGCGTAACGAATACAATATCTTAAATATTTTCAATTATTTTCTCTCTTATAACCAAGTGATAGCATGGCACACTCGACGACCTATAAATGCTACACTGATGGATGTAAAATGTACGGCATGATCAAATGCGATGGTTGCTTTGACAGATATTGTAAGGAGCACTTCTTGTCACACCGTCAACAGCTCGACAAAACCTTTGATCGCATCTGTGATGATCGAGATCTACTCCATCAACATCTCTATCCATCGCCGTCTTCCACGAGAATGGACGACTCTATATTCACAGATATCGATCGTTGGGAAGAGATCACCATTATACAAGTGAGAACAGCAGCCGACAATGCTCGCAAAAGAGTGGATGAACTGAAGCAAAAGACGAGATCTCAACTGCAGCGGGACTACGAACAACTATCACAAGAACTTCGTCATCGGAAAGAGAATGATGACTATTTCGAGCATGACTTAGACAAACTCACAACTCAACTTGAACAGTTGAAACTGAGCATCACAAACACAGCTGATCTCATCAAAATAAGAAGTCGAAGTATTGACTGGTTGACCGTGCTCGAAACCGAAGCCAGAGGAACAGAAACGGGCAACGTTGTACCAACACAGAATGTATCGGAAAAACATATCGAAAAAACGAAACATGAAACTGCCGCTTTGTTCGATGGAACGTCCTTGTTGAGTGCTGAACATCAGTTGAAAGTGAATGAGTTCTATGGACAGAGCAAACAGCGATGGAAGTTGATTTATCAAGCTAGCAGAGATGGCTTTGGTGTGAAAGATTTCCACAGTCGATGCGATGATCAAGGTGAAACAATGATTGTTATCAGATCAGAGAATGGATATTTATTTGGAGCAAGTAATCGAGTACCGTGGAGGAGTGAGGGAGGATGGATAGAAGATGAATCGTCGTTTCTGTTCACTCTGACTAATCCACACACTATTCCACCAACAAAGTATCACATTCATCCACATGAGAGTGCATATTCTATGTACCATCGTGCTGATTGCGGACCGCTATTTGGCCGTGGACATGATCTCTGGGTCTCTCACCGGAGTAATGAAAACAGTAAGAGTTGCACAAGGTTTCCTCGTAGTTTTATGGATACAACAGGCAAAGGAATGAAAACATTTACTGGAGATAAACACTTCAGAACATCTGACATTGAAGTATTTCGTTTAGTCCAGTGAACATAAACAACTTGTAGCGTATACGATGATAAGAAGACTTTTTATAAAAGTGCTTTGCTTCATGGTGGAAAAATGGGTTTTTGGGAGTGTAGCGTTGTTACGCTTAACTTCAAAAAATGTTTTATCATCTTTATTTCGATCGTCTTTCTAGGACAAAGCAATTTTCTCGCTTTAGAAGCAGCTATTGACAGCCCTTGTCTTGTTCTCGTGAAGTTTTTTTCGAAAAAGTTGATTTTAATAAGTACTTACTTCCTCAATTTAATTAACACTTACTTCCTTAGAAATCAAAGATTTTTCAGAAAATTTTCAATTTGATTAAAGAATTAAATTATCATACCTGCATAGTCTCATTCGTCATCATGGCTTTTATTATTCGTAAAATCGGCTCAGGTGAAAAACTTGTGTCGGTGCATTTGTTTTTAAAATACGAGAGAGATGTGTAATATGCGTTGTTTCCTCTCGAGTATTGTCTGGCTTTTTCCGACAATGCTGATTCCAAATATCATAGTAGGTTTTGCCCAAACGGCTTCAGACGTTCGGCTTTCTAGAGTAAAAGTTCTTTTCTTTTTAAAAAAAATTCAATTTCTGTAATGTCATTCGGGATACGTCCAATCTTCGAAAAATTCATTTCACATACGTAATCCGATGTATTCTACAAACTGGATGGATAAGAACTTGATTTCAAAAGAAAACAATTTTTACCCTAGAAAACCGGTCGTCTGAAGCCGTTTAGGCAAAACGACTATGATATTCGGAATCAGCATCGTCGATTAGGTATAGTCATGTTTCGAGGAAAAGCTCTGGTACATTTCAAAGGGAGGTCCCGTTTTGAAACAGTTGTTATTTATTTTAGGATTTTGTGTATTTTCATCTTAATTTCAATGTAATGAAGTTAGTTAGTATCTTGGCGTTACATTTTTTGTTGTTCTTCAAAAATAGAAACGTTGCTCAATCCATAATTTTTCTTGAATCGTCGTACAAACCTTAAAGGTATTATTAATCTCCGTAATACATCTAAAAGTTAGATTTGCTGTCAATGACACGCTGTTTGTAATTGACTATTCTAGTCAAGAGTCGTGTAAGAATCTTGCATATTTTCTTTCTTTTTTATCTGAATGCTTCTGTACTGGACTCCGATTCATTTGTGTGCGAGTCAAATGTTCGATTCTTGCCACACTCAAAAAACCAGAATGTTGTATAAAATCTTTTAAAAGGTTCTGTACAATATCCTGAAGCTCAACGGAGTTTTGCCAGTGAGTACGGTTCAGTACAATATTCTCTTTTTTTTAACGTGCAGTAACATCATCTTTTTTACTTTTGTCCTGCTATCACGTTACCGTTTTTCATAAATTATTACGGAACTAATTATTCATTAATGATCACTGATTTGCTAGTCATCGATGAATATGTAAGAAAAGCTTTGAACTTTAAAAAAATATATGGATCTTATATACTCTTGTCACTAACAAATCAAAAGGGAGATTCGGGATCTATCCGAACTTCTCATCGGTCTGGCCAGCTAACTCTACTGCGTATGAACAGTACTGCACAAATTTTTCAAAAGGTTAGAACTTAAAAGTGAATGAGCTATTTTGTAGACAATTTAATTATCTATCGATTGAACTGCTTTTGAAAAATTTTAGCGAAAATCTCTTGGTAAGGAAATTGAAAACAATGAGGAGGGCTGCGCGATTACAATTACAAAATGTAAAGTTCATACATTGCTATTATCTGTAGAATTAAGAATTCTAGAATTATGAACTTTACATACATGTAAAGTTGCTTATTCACACTCATCCTCACCCT